AATCAAAATGATGTAATGAGGCTATAGAGTGCAAACTCAAAGATAGATGAAAAGGAAGATATAATAGGGATCAAGAAAAAATATTGAGAATGAGCATTTGAAGTATCATTGTATCTGATCTGTGAATTAGCAAAAGAATAAAGAATTGGCACACATTACTCTATAAAACCTGCAAAGAAAAAGAATACGACACGAACAAATTTCCCGGTAACAAGAAAAATAAATGGAAGATAATTACTTCTGTAGTTTACATATATATATATATATATATGTCTCTAAAGAAGTATGATCAAAAGAAGGGATTGATGAAAACCGATAAGAATAAACGTATGTAAATGTGTAGATGTGCCAGAGAAAAAGGAGAAAGAATATGTGATTAGATGTCATTGTTGTTTTTTACCTTTAAATATTCATTTAATTCAATCGATCGGCACTAACTGAAACAAAGATATGAGTTTTATTTGCATGAGAGAAAGAAAGAAAGAAAGAGTATAGCATTCAAACCAAACAAAACAAAAGAAAAAGGAGAATCGTACAAGAAGAGTATTACAAAAACAAAAAAAGAACATACTGTATAGACTCATTAGATCATTATTTCCAGCTTAATTGAATTTCATATAAGACCAAAAGACAGAAAATTCACAGGGAAAACAAACGAAAAAAGAAAACGGACGGAGTACCTTAGATTTTTTTAAATAAGCAAAAGGATTCATAGTGTTCCAATGAGCACCATAAAAAACAAAAAAAAAGAACGTATGTAAGAATGGAATGATAAATGTAGATTTCTATATATCACAAACACAGAAAATCAGTAGGATACATAGTAGGTGTACTGTTATTATTATAAAAGTAAAGAGTTGAAGGAGAAGATAAAGTTGCAGTTTTACCAGTGATTACTCCATTAGTAACATCAGTACCACCGCCAACATTTGCACATACCTCATCAGATGTTGATGTTGATAAAAAAATATACGGACTTGTTGTTGCATGTGGATGATGTTGTTGTAATGTTGATAATGATATTGGTGTTTGTGTTGTATTAGCTGTTGTTAATAATGTTGTACCAGCATTTGCTGAACTAGTCATTGGACATGCTAATGCTGTGGTATATTGTTGAGCTAATTGGCTTGCATTTAACATAGTTGCTGTTGGAGCTGAGTTATTATTTTATTCATTTATTATCAAAAAAAAACAAAGAAACGAAATATTTACCTGAAAAATGAATAGCACCATTACTCATTGCTGAAAGTGTTGTTAATGGTGCGCCGGCAAGTGCCATTATTGGCGAACCATATACATTAGGTATACCTGTAAATATAATAAATGAGTGTTATAATGTCCTTTGCCTTTCACATCAATGAGTTAGAACATGTTTCGAATCTTAATTCCTATTCAATGGACTAACGAAGGAATTTTTTCAAATGATAAATCATTTTCAAGTCTGAACTCTACACACAAGATGGATCCTAGTGTGCTATGAAAAATCTCAAAAGGATAAGTGCCTTTAGACCTTTCCTTCTGAGGTATAGCCATTTTTCTAGAATTTTGCTCAAAAATTAGTCTACTCGTGACTAGAGTCTTTTTGAAAATGTCAGCTCAAAATAATGCTTCCTTCACAAGCTATTGAATTTCCAAAAATCTAAGACTCTTGGAACCCCATTAGTCATAATTAGACCTATCCTTTTGGACCTTATCATATGTCACTATGAGATCTACCTTATGCATAGAGTTCAAACTCAAAATTGATTGATCACTTGAAATAGTGCTATCATAAAACAAAAATTATAAGTGTCAGTTAGTCGATACAAAAAATTGAGAATCTTGCTAAAACTATTCTTTTTCAATTAGAATAAAACCCTTTTTATATATGTTTCATATTTATAACCTTGTACAGTGTTCTCTCTGACTTCAATCAAATTTTATTGATATATATATATATACCTGTTAAATATCTTGCACCAATAGAAATAGGTTCATTCGAATTTTCACTTGATGGTAATGTTGGATTAGTATAATCTCGACTTTTGTCGTTATTATATCTGACATTTAATGAATGTAATTTTGAAAAATCGATTTGTAATGTACAACAACCATTGTAAATATTTTGACCATTTAAACTCTATCAATACAAAATTCAAAAAATTTTTGATGAACAAGAATATTTTCGTATATGTATGTTACCATTTTTGCTGCTTGTGCTGTAGTTGCATCTTTCATTTGTATTAGTCCTTGAAATTTATCTATATAAAAAATAAATAAAGAACTATTAATTAATATTTTCTTTTAAATACCATTTTTAGTAAATGTAATAATTTTTAAAACAATACCAAATTTGCTAAAAATCTAAAATTAAAATTATTTGTTTGTTTTTTGTTTTGTTCATTTTCGAAAATTTATTTTTCTTACTTGATAAAATGTATCAGCACTAATTGGATAAATCATATTATTAACAACCACACGTAATACACAATTTTGTCCACCTGTTCGTGCAATTTCTTGTAAAATAGTTGCTGATTGAAGTGCAGCTTGTGCTTGTTGATTATTTGCATTATTCGGATCTGTTTTTAATTCTTGATGATTTGAAAATTGTACGAATATTTGTCGACCATTTAATAATATAGGTATTGAAGAAAAATAATCAGTCATTGCTTGTGCATGTTCAATACTGTCAAATTCCAGAAAAGCCTAAAATTAAAGATATTGTTTTTATATAAGTAAATAAACAAAAAAGAAATAAATATTAATACAAACTTGATTCTTTTTTCTTAAGTTAAGTACATTTGTTATTTTGCCAAATGAAAGACCAAATTGAACTATTTCTAATTCACTAGCATCAATATTTCGTAAATGTACTAACATAGGTAGAAAGTATTCATGATGTTTTTTGTTTTCTTCAATAATTTAGAATATGTGACTTACCAACACGAGATGGTGGACTTTTTTCAAGGCGAGCCTGAAACAAGAAAAAAAAAGATATGTAGGATCGGAAATAGAATATGATTAAGACAGGATTCGAGTAGATTGACAATATGAGAAAAGAAGTTATCAGATGACACAACATGAATGCCAAAAAAAAATGATACTTTATTCCAAGAATGTTTATCAATAGCAAGCGATGCAACATGTTACACATGATAGAAATAATGAACAAAATCTTGTTCTAGATCCAAATTTACTCAAAGATTATATAGAAATAGTTGATTGAATGTTATATTTTGGGATAAATATAATTTGTAAAAATTGATACCTGATATAAAACTTTCAAAAATATTTTTTTATGAAAATAATTCTTTTTAAAATGTTTTATTAAATAAGAAAACTTGATGATATTTCGATAATTTTGAAATAAAATATTGAAATTCTACTATTTTTTTTTTATTATATTTGAACAGAAAATATTAAATAATAATTATCAAACATACTTTTTTGGCTTCATTACTATCACTATTTTGATGTCCATTTGTCAGATTATTTGTACTCGTAGGATTATTATTCATGTCTTCTTCGGTAGTTGTAACGGCAAGAATTTTAGTCGGTGGTGATGAGGAAAGATCATTCGAAAGTAGACGCTAAGAAAGAAGATAGAATTTAAAATAATTAACTTTCGTCTTGTTTCCATCAAACCGTTATTCATATATACCTTCATGGATCGCTAAAAAAATACAAAAGAAAAAACAAATATATAAGAAATTACGTAGTTATTTATTGACTTCTTCTCAATTATTCTTTCTACATATATGCATACATAAATCATCAAAAATCTTATTAGAATTCCTTTTTTTCTCTTACACACACACACACACTTTTTTTCTTTTTTCATTTATTAGATATTTATGTTTTTATTATTATTATTAGAAGTGCAGTAACTTGTTCATAAGTGTTAGCCTCCAATCATTATTTGATCGGCACGAAAAGGAGGATGATTGTTAGACTAAGGGGCGTTGTCCATTCGTTCGTTATAAGCTTATTCTTGTTCCTATATTTTAGTTTCTGTTCTAATCAAACAAAACAAATACAAGAGAGAGAGAGAGAGAAAGAAAGAAACAGAATAGGGTCAATGCTAAGTATGAAAACTGTCAAATGCATTTCTTCTCTTTTTCAATCGCATCAATTGCAAATGAAATACAAACAATAAATTCATATATTGATGACTTGCCATTGAAACGAGATGTTCATATGGTCGTTGAATTCTATAGGATAAATACTTAGTCGATGAGTCAAAAGGTTGATAATATAGTGTATTTTGTCCATAATCAGGATAAATAATTGTACCATCAAGAGCATGTTTAGCTACACGTATGAGACTTGCTGACTGTGACATGATAAGGTGTGAGAGTTAACTTGTCCAAACAAGAAAAAAAAATATTCTCTTCGTCGCTGTCAAAACTTTTTTTTTTTTATGTTATACACGTATTCTCATTTTTACGCACATACATACATCTGATATTATTGGTGCAAGAAGAAAAAGAGATGAAAGAGCACACATACCCACACACCTGTCATTCTATTTCTCTCTCGTTCTATACTTTTTCAGATTTATAAATACAAATCTTGTTCTCTTCCATTTTATGATTGTGTAAAAAAAAAATATTCTTTACTATTTTTTTTTATCCTTTTCTACTTCATTCTCAAATAAGATTAACCAAAGAATAGAACAATTCTCTGATTCTGAAATAGCTTGCCGATAGCAATAAAACATAAAATAAGACACGAATTTTTCAAGTGTGTCTATAAAACTTATTATCTTTGCATCAAATTTGAATCATCAAGAAATCATCGATAACGAAAATATAATTTCAAATATTGTAGCTATAACTGAGAACAAAGTTGAGTAATGATATGAAAGAAATGTTCTATACGAATACAATGTATTTTAGGCTGAATGATAAATGTGATCCGCTTATTCACTCAGGTAAAAGATCGATTATTTTGGTCATGATTAGACATTTACAATCGGTTTCATACACTTGATAAAAGTGCTCAATATACTGTCGGAAACGGGGACTCTTTTCTTATTTTTCCAACTCGAAGATTTTCTTATTGACACAAACATATATAAAACAGGAAGAAAAACGAATAGTTCACATAGTCCTATCATAATCACAACATCCATTAAGCACTCACCGTTAAATATAAGTGTTTTTTTTTCTTGTTGTTAACTACTGCTACACTTTACCTCTCTTTGTTATATAGAAATCGAGATAGAGAACCACGATCAGACAGGAAAAGAAAGGAAGTAAACGCAGAAGAAAAAATATTTAAAAAAAAAAGGAAAACTTGTGTTCTTATTCTTACTGTCGCATTATTTCATTGAAACAGCAATAAAACAAAACGTGGAAATATCATGAGCTATTGATAATGACAACGAGAGATTTTATACGCGTCTATTCAATAACGACAGGAAAGACTTTTAGGATAATAGTGTGAAGAAACAAGAATGAAAGAAACAAGAGGAAATAATTATGATGTAAAATTATATGTATTGCTATATCTAGCAGCCGGTTTCCGTTCATCACGATGATCACTGTTGGTTAAGATTAACTAAAGATTTTTCTTCTATGTCAAGAAAAAAACATATATTCATAATAAAACAGTTTCTGTATATCCATATTGATACATTGAGACTAGAACATAAATCTCACCAGTTTCGATATGTGACAAACAAATCAATACAATATGTTCGAAGTATCTATTGTCGTTTATTGACGTTCTAGATGAGATTAGTTTAAAAAATGAGATACAAGATAATTGACGAAAAAAATTTTCTCCTTAGTAAATATATGCTCAAGTCAATTTCTGATTTGCATAATCGATCTGATCGTCAAGCATCACACATAGGAATATATTTGCCAATGCAGATAAAGCGTATCGAGCATCTCATTGTGAATACGAATTGCTTTTTCTCACCAATATTCTCCTTACTTACGATCGACTTCAACAGCAATAATAAGTTGATTCACTTGTTGGCACTTTTTTCTCTTAGTGTTCGATACCTAGCTGCTACTATTATTGACCCATGTTATCATATAATCGTAGTGACACATATAATCAAGAAGAAAAACGACGACGACGACAATATATAAAAGAATGATGTTGGAACTATGTTGACTTTATTATCCTCAGCAAAAAAAAGGCAGCGGACAGCTATGGGAGAGAGAAAAAGAAAGAAGTAAAATAAAAAAAAAGGAAGACTACTATTTTTTCACTTTCTTTTACTCTACTGTCGACTCGAACTGCTGTTTTTCTCATTCTGTACGCTGCTACTCGTGGATCCTATTTCAAGAGAGAATAAGCTTAAAGAAGTCATACCTTCAAGTAAAGTAAATTGCCATTACTATCCGTGGCAGTTGAATGCATCTTGATAATAAAAGATACTAACACACAAACGAATTATAATATCGTAAGCTTTAAAGTATATAGATATATATATCGATTCTTTTTTCAACAATACTTTGATTTGAAGGAAGAAGAAATAAGAGGACTAAAAAATCGAGTGAATGCAAGAGGGAAAGAGAGAGGGAGAAGGAGAGACATATTTGGCCTACACAAACATAGAGCAATAAGAGACGAGAAAAAAAATGAGACATATCGAACGCACAAGACAATAAACCAAAGAGCAAGCAAACAAGAGAACTTTGTGTACAAATGGTGGTAGTGGTGATGACAAAGACAAAAGCCGAGTAAATAGTTGATGCTTAATGATTATACGAAATACTACTACTACTCGTCTTTCAATCAACATAAAGATGAAAATACGTCTAGCTGACATGAACGCCGTCGCCTTGTCTTGTTCATATATACATTCATTCAAAAAGAATTTACATAAAAAATATGATAATTGTTCAGTAACAAAAGCACGTTCTTGATTTTGTATATGCATGTTCGTTTGCCAATTCAAGTACTATTAGCCCCTATTGACGTATGAACTTATTTGATTGTTGTTTTATCTTTACTATTTCATATATGAGAATGTTAACTTATGGTTTAGTATACAATGAACTTTATCAGTCAGTCGCCGCCCATTTAGTTTTTGTTTCAATCATGGTAATTGAGATGGTATATAACGCAATTATTTGTTTGAATGAGTTTCGTAAGAAAAGAAAAATAATATGAACAATCTAAGTTTTTGTTTCATTAAAATAGGGTAGCAAAATATTCGCATGATACGTTGATTTTAATTTGATTTGATGAAGTTCACAAGGAATGATGTGACAGGAAACAATTTCAGTTTAATTATATGTCTGATCGATGGATTAGTCTAGTTAAAAATAAATTTACGTAAAAATAAAACTGAAAATTTTGACAGATTAGATTTTACAATGCAAAGAACAATAAACATCAAAATGAATTGAGAAAACTTTAAAATATAATTCGATTCAGTCAATAGAAATAATCATGATATAAAATACGTATTGATATCAATAGGCAATAATTAAGATGTTTGTTCATAAAGATATGTTGTAATCCGTGCATCAAATCAGAAACTTTTTGTTTGAGACAAACTAATTAAAAAATGAACTACAAGAAGCGAGAATATTTTTTTTGATTTTTATTTACTAATAGTAATAAAAAGTCACATCGAATTGAAGTAAAGCTTATAGAGGACATTTATTTATTACTTTGCTTAAAGACATGAGCAAATAAACCATTAAAACTAGAGACCTACATCGGAGTCATTTTTACGAGCAGTCCAAGCTCTCTAAACTGGCTTATGCAGTAAACTAAGTTGAACACTACGGGTTTTTTTTGTGAACGATGAGGCTTATTTTTTGATATTCATTTTGAAGCATGATATATTTTGGAAACACGATTCACGTCCTCCTGGGACTTGACAAACGTGAAGAAAAGTCTGAATGAAGGTTGATTTCGACTTCTTCTTCACATGGCCGTAAGCTTCGAAGAGATATCAACCAAATTTCGAAAACATATCACTTTGTACAGTGAATACTAATGAAAAAAACTTACAGGTCAAAAGACCTTTTGTATTAAATCTAATTTATTAGTAAGACATTTAGTTGATTCTAGTACAGTTTCTTAATTAAAGTCAACCTGATAAATTTATTGCCTTTAGTTGGATTTTCTAAATTTGATGAGAAAAAAAGTATTTTCAACGTATGTTCTATATTGCGAAGTTACCACAAAACAAAGAGTTTGAACGTATTTCTTCTCTAGAACTTCGAAATGAGTAACGCTACAACTAAACAGTAACAATCAACTACAATTTACAGATGGTATACAATTTCAAAGTCTAATTTATACTGTTATAAGCAAAAAAAGTGTATCTTTATTCATTCTTTCTTTGTTAACATATGTTGTTTGCCTTGTTTTCAATATTTGTTGTGCCATATGCCACACATTGTTGTCAAATTAGTGGAAAGATTTATTTAGACAGGCTAGATCAATAGAACATTGTTTGCTTTTTAATATAAAACAAATTTGAATCCGATACAACATTCAATTGCTACGCTATAAAGAGCGACATTTTTCTTATTCCTTTTGCAGATGTTTTCAATTCTGTAAGATGCAGCCTGTTGACTATTTGATTAGCATTACCGGTAAAACAAAGTAAATCAATATATTTGGCTGTGCATCTCATCACCGAAGCATAGACCATCCATATGAAGATCGCCGCATGCTTTTCGGTTGTCTATATTTGTGAATTTCTTTTCGGCGATCACTACTTATATTCACTCTTTCTCAATTTGTATCATATATAGACATATATGTATACTGTAGGTATCATCTCAGAGTATCACCGAAACGAAGCATTACCTATTGTCACATCATCGAAATACAAGTCACACAATTTCGTGACAGATCATAATGATGGCTTTATTGATTTTTTCTTTCTCACGTAAAATATAGGTGACTAATACTCTCGGACAAAACTGTTTGACGAAAGGTTCAAGTCAAGTTAGTTTAATGAAAACTTCTTTTTTTCTACATATATAAGATAGTATTGAATCAGATATATCCATCGGATCTTTATGTCACGTATGAAAAATCTAACTGTGTGCCCAAACACATGTTTGAAGAAAATTTCCAACAACCGCTGGTTCCGAGAGAACAATCAGGAAAAACTTCAAACTTCTCACACTACTTTTCTTTTTGTGTGTGTTAACTTATGCATTACAAAGTTTTATTTATTTTTCTTGTATTTCTAACGGGCACACTAAACAGAGAAAACGTCACTTCTTTTTTCAATTTTCCAAGAAGGGAATTTTGTTCAAAAGAAACAATCAGTGTTTGAAGTAATTTTTAGTTTGAGCTGCAGATTCTGCTAATATGTCTTGAGCGTTTTTTAGTTTTATCGTGACACCTTCATCCTCTTGTCTTCTATATAATTATTCGAAGTGAATGAGAGTCTGATATTTTTTCATGAACCTAATAGGGTATCGATCAATGATAAATCTGTTCTATTTTTTGATATGGTTTTTTAATGACTCTTTCTAGCAAGTTAATATCATAAAGCTGTTTATAATGTTAAGGAGAAACCAAAATTATGTGAGATAATTTACGTTGTTGTGTTGCTAAGCAACATTACCTTTCTTAAGATGTCGCTCAATATAATAACTGAATAATAATCCATTTCTTTTTGATAATCAAATAATTAACGAAAAAAAGAATTTTTCTTTCAAAATCAAACTACAAAATTTTCTCTTCTAAACATAATTAACAGTACAGTTCTTATAAAATAAATAAACAATGTATTTAGAAGTGTTCAAAAAGTGATCACGTTCAATCGTTCAATCGATCTCACGATGACAAATACACAACTCGAAGAAACAACTACAACAGTTCAAACAAATGATGAAAAAGAGTATATATATATTATTAATCTTTTTTAATTATTCATTCTATTCATTTATTTTTTATCATTAGTGAAAAATTATATGATAAAATTATCAAACGACTTGGTTAGTCTTACTTTTCTTCTAATAACTCTTATTAATCAAATTTTATTATTGTTTCAGAACCATTATCAGCAATTAAATTTGCTGCTTATCGTGTAGCATGTAAACTTCGAATATTACAAAAATATCTCAAATGTAAGTTCATCGACAGAAAAAGAGAATAAAATCCTTAATTATTGAAGTATTATTATATATTTTAGTAACTTATGTTGATTATAATATTCTTGTACGAGCATTTAATACTCACCAATTACATTTTGGTGTTGAAACATCCATAATAACATATGAAAATGCTCGAAAAGTTTTAACAGCTATTTATCAACTTATATCATCATATCATTTTAATGAATCAACTATGGATGAAGTGATTGATACATTATTAAGACTTCTTTGTGAAATTCTTCACATGTAAAAAAAAAAAAAAATTTTTTTGCTTTTGAAAAATAAATTGTAATTTTCTGTTTTTTGTTTTTTTTTTAGAAAAATAGATGAAGATTTTGATCTTAATGCATTTAAAATAATTCTATTTGCATTATCAAATGCAAAACTACCTGAAAAATATCGATGTATGTATAAAAATATATTTGATATTGTTCGAACAGAAAAAAAGAGTACGATTTATTAAAGGTTTTTTTCGGCAAATAACTTCACCCAATGTAATAGCATCACAAGGAAAATTAAATGAATTATTTGAAATTCTATTAAAAGTAAAATTAAACTACTTTTAATTTAATTAGAAGTCATTTCTTTTTGCTTTTATTTAGTTACCTAATCATTTCGATAATGTTGATTCATTTCATCCAGATAATATTCCAGGTTGTGTTCAAAGTTGTCTTGATCATGTAAGAAAAAATTTGTAGAAAATACGTCTTTTTTTTTTTATTTATTTGATATAATTAGACTCATGATGGCATAATTCGTGAAGATATATTCGTTAATTGGATGGGTCGAGAACCACAAACACTAGTATGGTTGCCAACATTACATCGATTGATTGCAACGGAAACAGGTGCGTTTATTTAAGCATCCTCTCTCAAAACTCGAACTTAGGTCAAGCACATTCATATTGTGTGAAGTTTTCAGGATATATTGGAGCTGTAGTGAAGAGAAGAGACCGAGAGGCTGATCTCAGAATTGATATAGTTCAAGTCTGAAAATTTTCTATTAATCGTGTCCAAAAATTTTGGATGTAATGGACTTTAACGGAGAGACTATGCTAAAAGTATCAGTCATAGATCATGATTTTTTCCGAAGATATTGAACAAACAAGGGTTAAAAATTGCTTATTTGACCGCAAAAGATTCTCTATGCTTTTCTTTTTATATAGAGAAAAGGGTAAAAAGTTCAATATCTTCAAAAATGGTCATCTATTTATAGAAATGCTTTTTTTTATATTATAATGAATGAAGCTTAATTAAAAAAACAGACGCAGCAGCTTCACAT